TTGAGACCCTCTGCTCAGCCGACTGTGTCCTGTACTTCATGGTGGTGAGTGAAAGGGCGGCTTCAGTGTTTCAGCGCTCTCTTGCAAGTGTGAATTTATTGACACAAGATAGGATAAAAATACCGTTTTTCTCGCCATTCTTAGAATCTTCCAAAAACATTTTGTAAAAGCCTAAAGAAATTGCCAGGGATTGTTCCATAAATAAAGTATTTGCATGCTTGCATGCACACACACACATACACACACAAACACACAGCATTCATTCTTCAGCAGAAGGGCCTAGGGCAGGGCCCACTTGACTGACAGGGGTCAGGGAATATTAATCTGATAGAAAATTATTTCATAAAAGTTCTCAACAGCAGTGTTCCTCTTGTCATCGTCAACAATTCAACCATCAGGAGGGAATGTGTGTTTTTTTTTTTTAATTTTTAATTTTTTTTTTGACAGGCAGAGTTAGACAGTGAGAGAGAAAGAGACAGAGAGAAAGGTCTTCCTTCCATTGGTTCACCTCATAAATGGCTGCCGCGGCCGGCACACAGCACTGATCTGAAGCCAGGAGCCAGGCTCTTCCTCCTGGTCTCCCATGCGGGTGCAGGGCCCGAGCACTTGGGCCATCCTCCACTGCACTCCTGGGCCACAGCAGAGAGCTGGACTGGAAGAGGAGCAACCAGGACAGAATCCAGCGCCCCAAGCAGGACTAGAACCCAGGGTGCCGGCGCCGCAGGCGGAGGATTAGCCTAGTGAGCCGTGGCGCCAGCTGAGGGAATGTGTTTTAATAGGTGAGAGCAGAAAATGTTTGGGGTGTAGGACACTAGGTGGAGAGAAAACTCTTCCTTGTTCAACTTGATAGTTTAGACAGAGGACATTACTATGCATGTATCATAATTTTGCCCTTTCTAGGCGTCATTGAACTCTCAAGTTTTAGCTTGAGGAAAGGAACAAAACAATATTTATTAAGAGTTCATGTGAGCTTTAGAAAGTTGTTGACTAAGATTTAACATTGCAGTTGAACAGTATCTTCATAGGCCTGCTGTGTTTGTTTTTCCCTCAATGATCTGTTGGTAGTTAGCTAATAATTCATTAACAGTTTCCTCTGTGATTTACAATGTGTGAGGAGATTTAAACATTTGTTTGTGATTACTTGGGTCTTAAATGAAAGCAAACCATTTTGTTCTGAAAAAATACTGGCTTTGTCCCTGCTGATTTGCCTGGGAAAGCAATGGAGGATGGCTCAAGTGTTTGGGCCCCTGCACCCACTTGGGAGACCCAAAGGAAAGTCCTGGCTCCTGGCTTCTGATCAGCCCAGCTCTGGCTGTTTTGGCCATTTGGGAAGTGAACCAGCTGATGGAAGATCTCACGTGTCTCTCTCTGTAACTGTGCCTTTCAAATAAATGAATAAATCTTTTAAAAATACTGGCTTTGTAACAGTAAAAGCTCATGAATATCCTCCACTATTCCTATCAGATAACCACTGTCTGATTCTCCCAGCTTCCCCCGTGTTTCTTTTCTGTTAGTTTTCATCATATTTAGTGCCAGCACTGAAATTCAGAGTCCTATTATCTTTTGACTAGATTATTTAGTAATCTCTTATCCATTCTTCTCATCTCTACTCTGTCAGCCATGTGTCGTCATGATTATCTTTATAAATGTAAAAACAGTAGAGGTACAAAACAACAAACCCACCCCCCTAATGCTTGACAACTTTTTTATTTTTATTTTTATTAATTAATTAATTTATTTTTTTGACAGGCAGAGTGGACATGATAGAGAGACAGAGAGAAAGGTCTTTATTTTGCCGTTGGTTCACCCTCCAATGGCCGCCACGGACACCGCGCTGCGGCCAGTGCACTGCGCTGGTCGGAAGCCAGGAGCCAGGTGCTTCTCCTGGTCTCCCATGGGCAGCAGGGCTCAAGCACTTGGGCCATCCTCCACTGCACTCCCAGGCCACAGCAGAGAGCTGGCCTGGAAGAGGGGCAACCGGGACAGTATCTGGCACCCCGACCGGGACTAGAACCCGGTGTGCCGGTGCCACAGGCGGAGGATTAGCCTAGTGTGCCGCGGCGCCAGCCGCTTGATGACTTCTTATTGTCGTCAGAGATAGTGATTCCTGAAGTGTGATCCCTGGACTAGCAGCTTTACCATCATCTGGGTGCTTGTTAGAAAAGCAAAATTGGTGGGGAGGGCGGCGCTGTGACACAGTGGGTTAATACCCTGGCCTGAAACGCTGGCATCCCTTATGGGCACCGGTTCTAGTCCTGGCTGCTCCTCTTCAGATCCAGCTCTCTGCTATGGCCTGGGAAAGCAGTAGAAGATGGCCCAAGTTCTTGGGCCCCGTACCCGCATGGGAGACCTGGAGGAGGCTCCTGTCTTCCGATCGGTGCAGCTCCAGCCATTGCAGCCAATTGGAGAGTGAATCATTGGATGAAAGTCCTTTCTCTCTCTCTCTGTCTCTCCTCTCTCTGTGTAACTCTGACTTTCAACTAAATAAATAAATCTTTAAAAAAAAAAAGAAAAGCAAAATTGGGGGCCCATTTTGACCTTACCAAGTGACAAATGCTGGGGAGGTGACACAGTGATCTGTATTTTAGCAAGCCTCAAGGATACAGGGTGAAGTTTGAGAACCAGTGGCCCTGAATATTTCTCAAATTCCTTAGCATGGCATTTCTATGACTTTTCATATCCTTACCCCAGCCTTTGTTAGCAGACCTGCTTTTGTACTCAAGTATCTTTATCATCCAGAATTTGTTCACTTTCATGACACAGTGTGTGTCTTTCCTGTTTTCTATGTCTTGGTGCTCTAAGCTGTAATATTTGTCATTTTGCCCTCTCATTTGATGACCTCCCATTCACACTCAAGGATAGCTCCCACTTCTCCAAACCATTTTCACCACTGTGCTCCCAAAATGCTTTGAGAAAATGTCCTTTTGATTATGTTCATGTGCTTGTGTTTTTGTTCCTCTCTCTTGACAAGCACTCCTGAGAGTAGTAGTCATGTGACACTTTGGTAAATCAATCCCAGAATTTTTCGTTTACAGCAGAATGTGCTAATTTTCTTTCCCCTCTGTGTAATTTGCTCTTCTCATAGGTTTTTTTTTCTTAATATCAAATAAGAACACTTTGAATTTCAAGTAGTCCTTTACAGATATAAGGTGGCATTATTTATAGCAGTACAATAAATTCCATTTCTTATGACCCAGAAAGATGATGTTTAATGAAGCATTCACTGTATCTTAGGAAATCCGTTTTGGAAATTGCAAGTGTGGTGATTTGGCTTGGAAATGTGGGGATTTCTGTAATGCGTGACAAACATTTTTTGGTTATATGTGTTTGTAGTGTGAATGTCAGAGGTATCTATTTGTAGTATATTTGATGACTTCATAACACTTTGATTCCTATGTTTGTATCACAGGAAGCTAAAGAAAGAGACATGTCATAGGCTCATGGCAGCCAGTTGCCAACATCCCCAATAAGTAATGGAAGCCTTCTGAGGACTTGCATAGTTTATCAGGATTTCACAGGGAAAACTAGTTAGAAAATTCAAAGTTAAACTTGGTTTTCATTTCAAATAAAATTTCATTTCAAATATCTATTGGATTATTTGTCTGACTTATATTTGCCTTCTAGCTGTGTTAGTGAAGCATATTGATTGGCATATCACAAATTTTTATAATTATTCAAAATGTTGAATTTAGCTAAGGAAGTCAGAAATAAAATATATGGATCAAGCCTTTGGAGTTAATTTTATGAACATGAAACAATAATCTGGTTAGTCTAAACTTGGATAAGCCTGGAGGTTGCAAGTATAACTCAGGGGGCAAGTTGCACTGGATCTTAGCCAAAAGGCTGAGAAACATGCGAGGGAACTTGAAATTTCTGTGTTGTCTGTCAGCATTGCTCAAGGAGAAAGACAGAAATAGAAAGCTTTTCCGTTCTTTAGAATCCTGGAAGTATACTGTGAGAAGTTTCCTCTGCTAAGTATGTTTTCCAAGTTGGGATCACTCATTCACCCCAAACAGCCAACATGTAAGCATACTGTGGCTTGTGACCTCTTTCCATTCATGCTGACCATGTGCTTGACATATTGTATTACTGAGTACAGCAGGTACTTGTGCACTTGACATACTGTATTACCGAGTACAGCAGGTACTTGTGCACTTGACCTATTGTATTACTGAGTACAGAAGGTACTTGTGCACTTGACCTATTGTATTACTGAGTACAGCAGGTACTTGTGCACTTGACATACTGTATTACCGAGTACAGCAGGTACTTTGTGCACTTGACATACTGTATTACTGAGTACAGCAGGTACTGTGCACTTGACATACTGTATTACTGAGTACATCAGGTACTTGTGCACTTGACATACTGTATTACCGAGTATGGCAGGTACTTGTGCACTTGACATACTGTATTACTGAGTACAGCAGGTACTTGTGCTCTTGACCTATTGTATTACTGAGTACAGCAGGTACTTGTGCACTTGACCTACTGTATTATTGAGTATAGCAGGTACTTGTGCCCTTGACCTACTGTATTACTGAGTACAGCAGGTACTTGTGCTCTTGACCTATTGTATTACCGAGTATGGCAGGTACATGTGCACTTGACATACTGTATTACTGAGTACAGCAAGTACTTGTGCACTTGACCTATTGTATTACTGAGTACAGCAGGTACTTGTGCTCTTGACCTGCTGTATTACTGAGTACAGCAGGTACTTGTGCACTTGACATACTGTATTACTGAGTACAGCAGGTACTTGTGCACTTGACCTATTGTATTACTGAGTACAGCAGTTACTTGTGCACTTCTAAGTGTCAATATGTATTTGTAATGTAGACATAAGTATATTAATATTGAGCTTATTTGTATGTTTCTCTTCCTGTGTTTTAGGATATTAATAGGAAAAGTACCAATGTGGTGGAATCATGGGGTGGAACCAAAGAGAAACAAGCATACACCCACATCATCTTTAAGAATGCCACGTTTACGTTTACCTGGGCCTTCCAGAGAACCAATCAGGGTCAAGATGTAAGTTCCAGACACTTTTTCTTTAAACACGAAGATGATTCCCCCTTGTGGTGATGTTTGCAAAGTGATGGTTCTAATCTGGAGGAAAAGACAGAGTTTTCATTGATGTGAAATTCACCATCTGATTGAGATAAAATGGTACTTTTTAAATTTTGGGGTAGTAAGAGTATATGAAATGAAGCAATGCAGTGTATCTTTGAATTATTTTGAACTCCAAACAAACGAAATCCTCTGAGTCTTAAGAAAAAGAAAATCTAACACCATAGACCTAACAAATTACTTTTCAGGCTTTCTGAGGCTTTGATAGATTTGTTGACTTAATTCCTCTTCATCTGAATGGCGTGACATTTGTCTAGGAGCCACCAACCAGTCCTGTTTCATTTTTATCATTATAGTAATGTCTCCTTTACAGCCTGGAGAAGGTGTACATACATACCTTTTGGTTTTATAATGCAGAATAATTTGCCTCCTTTCATTTCTCTGTTAGAATAGAGCAAATCCTCTCCTAAGTAAATTTCATTGTATATTTTGATATTTTCAGGGATGTTATTTTTTGTTTTATTTTATAGTTTTACTATTTAGAATAGCATAATGAGGATTTTGATGGTTCCTTAACATACCTTCTTTATTTTTATGGATTTCCCTAGTCAAGACCTCTTGTTCAGAAGCGGCCCTAACACTGCAGTGGAGAATGTGGGGCACTTTCTTTCCTCTTCAGGAATTTAGTGGGAAGACCATTTCCCGGATTTTTCTTGAGTCTGGGTGTTTTTTACAGGTGTTGGTATTCCCACTGTGTGTGGCAGGAGTGTGCCACGAAATCCTCCTCTCCCCTTTGCCTTCCTTCTATCGTTGTCCCAGACAAGAAAGCATTGAGTAGCCTGGGTATCACTGCTCTGTACTGATGGAGTGATGTCCACGGCAGGATGAAAACCAGACCTTAATTCACCCAGTGTCAGAAGGAGGAATATAGAAGACCCAGCTTCTTAACTCCGGATTCCAGAACCTCTCGGTAGAATCCGACTGAATTGATGAGGGAAAGGCAGGCTCCATGGAGTGGCTGCCTGTGAATTACAGTTAGTGTTTGCATGGGGACCGCAGGTTTTCTAATCCCTATTCCCAGGCTTTTTCACTCTGCCATGCTGTCAATATTTTAATAATCATTCGATTTAGACTTTTATCGAATAAAGAATGGTGTGAAGTAAAATTGCCTCTCTTGAAATATGACAGTTCTTTCAGATATGAGGTCTGTAAATATGCCCAAGTTCATACCAATTATGACAGATCTTGTGGTAATTGTGGCAAAGCTCCAATAATTTCATAGAGTGGACGTTAACTTCTCGGGTCAAGATTTAAGGTCTTTTCATAAGAACCAAATAGGAGTGATATTAATCCATTGCCAGTGCCAGGCTATTAGGATGGAACACTCTGCTTGTTTTGGTGATATCCACATGAAACGTAATCTGTTGTACCACCAAGCTCCAAGGCAGAAGTCACTACTTTCTGCTCTCTTTTTAGAATAGACGGTTCATCAATGACATGGTGAAGATTTATTCTATCACAGCCACTAATGCAGTCGATGGGGTGGCGTCCTCATGCCGTGCCTGTGCCCTCGGTTCTGAACAATCGGGCTCATCGTGTGTCCCCTGCCCCCCAGGCCACTACATTGAAAAAGAAACCAACCAGTGCAAGGAGTGTCCACCTGACACCTACCTGTCCATACATCAGGTCTATGGCAAGGAGGCTTGTGTTCCATGTGGGCCTGGAAGTAAAAGCACTCAGGTGAGAGAGCATGCATTTTGAGAGAGAAACTCAAGTGTTCTGCTTAATACTTCATAGGAGCTATGAAGTTGCCATTGGTTCTGAAAAGACTTTTCATCCTGTCGCTCCCCCTCTTCGTGGAGGAACGACACAGGACCCTGCGCTGTTCTTTTGTCTGCTTGGCCCTCCCCGGGTTTGCTGCTGGTTCTTCCCGGGTTGGCTGCTGGTCCTTCCCGGGTTGGCTGCTGGTCCTTCCACCTCCGTGGAAGGGCGGTTCCCCCTGCCACATTCCCCACTTCCGCGGGGGAGTGGCACACCGCCGGCCGGCTCTCTCGGGGGCTGCACAGGTGTTCCCTCAGATGTTTCCCTTAGATGTTCCCCTTAGGTGTTCCCCTTAGATATTCCTGGTGCATGCCGTCTCTCTCCTCCTTTATAGTCCTCCTCCGCCAATCCTAACTCGGCTGCCCACACGCCGAGTACGCTGCTCTCCTCCAATCAGGAGCAAGTCCTACAGTTTATTGGCTGAACTGGAGGCAGCTGTGTAGAGGCTGTTTTCTTCTCTCCCAGCGCCATATTGTGGGAGAGCAGATGCATAGAATAAGTCTTAATTCCAGTAACAGTATAGTCCGAGTTGCTCCCCACACATCCCATTTTCCTGTTTTTTCTCCTCTTACATTTATTGAGCTTCTACTATGAGCACTTAATACTGATGTGCCATAAGTATACTAGGTACTGGGGATGTCAAATACTAAGAAAAACACTTAAATAAGAATGGTTTCCAGAAATATAAAAGCTGATTTGTCATGTGTTATTGACTGCAAATGAACTGCCACTACAGGCTAGCAACAGGAGTTTATAGGGACTGCAAATGTATCTTACATTTTAAAGGCAAAGATTGATGCTCTATTAGGAGTTAGGGAGAAAGTAGTTTTGCTATCTAGAACAGCGTAATGGGAATTTTGACTGTTTCTTAAAATACCTTCTGTAAGAAGCTAACTTAAGAATTACTTTACTCTGACTTTGAAAAAATCTGAGTCTTCTTTGCCTATAAAAATCTACTTAGAGTTTAGAAATTTTCCCTATTGGTATGGTTAAATATGTTGGAACCAAGATGAAATTACTGAAATGGTCTTCATGCCTAGAACTTTTTTGGAAACACATTTTTTTTAGCAGCAGCTAATACTTTTTATTTCTTTAAATCTCTTAATCTTTAATTGAAGGACCACTCCATTTGCTACAGTGACTGCTTTTTCTACCATGAAAAAGAAAACCAGAGTTTTCACTATGACTTTAGCAACCTCAGCAGTGTGGGCTCATTAATGAATGGCCCCAGCTTCACCTCCAAAGGAACGAAATACTTCCATTTCTTCAATATCAGCTTATGTGGGCATGAGGTGAGTTCTGGCTGCCAAGGTGAGATGCAGTTATATTTCAGAACTGATTGAGGTGGTATTTTCTGCATTGATGGAGCAATGAATTCTCCTTGGAAACTAAAAACCAATGTCAGGAACTGGCCTTTGAATACTCAAATCCTCTTGCACTTCTGAGCACGCTGGCAGCTTCATCTACCTGGGACAGCCTTGTCTGGTTCCCGGGACATCAAAGCACTTATCCACCCAGCTGAATCACTAGCTTGGAGCTATGGGGTGTGAGCGCTTTGAGCGTCCTTCACGTTTGTGTGAAAGTGAGTCACGTTTGTCAGTCTTTCCTCTGTTTTTTGAGGCAAGCAATTGTGGTTTAAGAAAGTTTTATTCTTGCTTATTGGAGAGAGAGAGAGAGAGAGAGAGAGAGAGAGAGAGAGGCAGATAGACAGTGTGTGTGTGTGTGTGTGTGTGTGTGTGTGTCTCCTAACCTGAGAACCTGAAATCCAAACTGCTCCAAAATCCAAAACTGTTTTTGGAGCATTTCTTGTTTTATATTTTCAGATTAAGGATGCATAACTTGTAAAGTCTGTGTATATTTCTAAAATCCAAAAGAATCCAAAATATGAAACACTTCTGTTCTCAAGCATTTCTGATAGGGTACATTCAGTTGGTATTTGTGTTGGGTACCTATGAGATCCATGAGTGGAGGTTTGTTGGGGAAATTGGCTCACATGATTATGGATAGAAGCCAGGACTCCTACAACAGACCCACTGCAAGCAGACTCTGGGATTCTGGTAGAGCTGAGCCCAAGTCTGAAAACCCAGCAAGGAGGAAAGCCAATCATGTCATTCTCAACCTAGGGCTGCAGGACTGAGAGCCTCGGGGGCTGCTGTCCTGTCTTCGAACCTGGGACCAGAGATCCCAGAGTTCTGACGTCCATGGCAGGTGGAGTAGTGTCCCAGCTCCAGGAGCAAGAAGTACTCCTTTCTCTGCCTCTTGTTCTATCCAGGACCCCAACAGAGGGGATGGTGCCCACCCACATTGAAGAAGGATCTTCCCTGCTTAGTTCCCAGCTCATACACCATTCTCCTCTGGAAACACCCTCACAGCTGTAGCGAGGAACAATCCCATTACAACTCTCTAGGCATCCTTTAATCCAATCAATTTGACACCTAAAACTAACCATCACATGTATGTTGTCATTCTGAAGGAAAAAAAAAAGACTTCCAAAAGGAAGCTTGTCTCAAATAAAAGGGAGGTTTGCAGGGACAGATGTTAGTTGATAGGAAGCATCTGCTTGTAAATAATGGGACTTCATTTTCTGTAGGAAGACTCAGAGCATTCACTGATACCAGTGATGGTCAGAGTTAGAGGACCACATATCCAATATCCTTTTGAACATGCAAGGTTGGAGTTGGAAACTATGGATACAGCATTAGCAAAGATAACAATATAATAAGGTGTTTCCTTCATGTCTCTTTTCATATGAGCCCCTAAGTCTTCAGCTATCTTCATTCTGAGAAGCTGTGCCAAACTTGCTCAAAGGAAATAGAGATCTGATCATCACAGAAGTTTTCAAATTAAAAAATTCTGTGAATTTCACGTGCTGCAGTACTTGTCCTGTTCTGACTTTACATGGGAGATCTAATACACTTGCTAGATTGGTTAGTCACTTAGTGCACTCAGTAAATAAATGTATGTTAAATACCTGGTATGTCCTGAGACTGTGTGAGGTACTAGATTAGATTAACTGCATTATCTTCACACATTGCAATCTTATCCTCATATTTCCAGCATCTCTTGTTCTGTCTGCCTTCTCTTTACTTCTATTATCTTTGTCATTCATTTTATTCTCATTCATATCCTGTTAGTCTGTTACTTCCTCTTTTTTTTCCTCAGTAATTTCTGTCTGCTCTTTTCCATTTTTTTTCTTGGATTCAACAATTTAATTTACGCTTAGTAAAAATACATCTGGTGAGAAGGCCTGGTGGAGAGAGAAAAATGTATAGGCTATGATTACAAGTGTGTTAACACAGAAAAGTTTTTATGCCCATCTGTTTAAACTTTATATCTACACCTAGTGAAATAATTTCCCTGTTTTCTTTCTGCATTTCTTTATAGAGTAGTGGAGCAAGAAATAGTTTATTTTGCACTGTGACTATATGTATACTAAACAGTTTTCTAGTTTTTTAAAAAAGATTTATTTATTTTAAAGGCTTTTTTACACACACACACACACATACACAAACATACACACATATACACACACATACATACATATACACACATACGCACACACATATATACACACACCTACACACACCTACACACATATATACACACATCTACACACATACGCACACACACACAAACACACACACACACATACAGATCCAGAGATCCTCCATCTGCTGATTCACTCTTCAAATGGCTGTGGTGGCCAGGAGCTTCTTTTGGGTTTCCCACATGGGTGCAGTAGTGCAACCACTTGGACCATCTTTTGCTGCTTTCCCAGGCCATTCACAGGGGACTGGATTGGAAGTGGAACAGTTGGGAGCTGAACCAGTGCCCATATGGGATGCCCTTGTCACATAAGGTGGCCTAACCCAGAATGCCACTATATTGGTCCCCAGTTTTCCAGTTTTTATAAACTATGCCTTCCAGCTAACTTCTAAATGATTAAAAACTAAACCCATATAATTCTCTTCAACTTATTATACAGTTGTACAGGTCCACATTGAGTCTAAAGAGAAAGCGAAACACGTATAGCGACCAACTGTTTAGAATTTGAGTGTTCTAGAATTTTGCTGCAATGTGCTTTAAGCTGTCCTCTTCATCCGC